ATTGTATTCGTAATCTGCATGCTCGATTACCTTCCTGTGCCAAATCCCAGCCCCCTAGCTCAAATTTTGCAAAAAATCGATAAAATCGACATCAATCGATAATGAAAAGTGGACTGTGACACCCGCCGGGGCCCGAAGTGTATGTGTGCCAAGTTTGGTTCGGATCGGTTGAGAAATGGAATTTTCTATTCGGAACATACGGCGGAGCCGAGTAAGCCAGCTAGTACTCCTATAGGCTTGTACTATACAATTACACATGTGGAGACAGCATAGAACGTTTTTGTAAAAACAAGAAAATTTTCGTTTTTTCGATTTCTAGAGAGGAAGAAATACAGCAACGGTATGTATGGGTGTTTGATGCGGTGTGCAATCTGCGTGAGCAAGTTGGAGATGAGGGAGATTTTTTCGAACAAAGATATGAATTTTTTGCGATTTTTTGAATTTCAATACAACTCAGATTTTGGATGCAAACTTACGCTGGGTCGAAGCTGGTGCGAACTTTTGCAAACCATTTTGTAGAGCTTGCTTTGCTCTATCGAATGGTACCTCCTTCGGATGTAAATGTACATGCATTAGGTTTCGAGAAATAGCAGATTTAGTTCGGAAATGTCCCAGATCTTTCGAGCCAACCTTATATTAGTTCGAACCGAAAGTTCTGTCATACCATTTTTAAAAAATCGTAAACTATTTCTATCAAGATGTTTCTCAGTGGCTAAAATTTTATTGAAAAAAGCAAATTATGCACTTTCTAGGGGCACCTTGGCTGCTATCTGCTAAGTTTTGAGTGCAGAGATGAGATTGGGAAAACAAAATCACTTCAATATCGGAATTTTGAGGCAAGCCCGTTGAATCCAATACGCGCCATAAAATCCAAAACAGCACTAGCCTAGGTTTTTTAAACCCCCCCCCCCTTTCCAGCTGAGCTAAGTTTGCGCTAATCGAGCTCTTCTTCAAAATGTTATGATTTTTTGGAAAAATGCCAAAAAATCTGCAAGAAAATTGATTTTTTTGACATTTTCTTGAAAATCATAACTTTTCAAGAAACAACTGGATCAATGCGAAATTTGCTCAGCTAGAAAGAGGGGGTCAAAAAACCTAGGCCACTGCTGTTTTGAACTTTATGGCGCAGTTTTGGAACTTTCAACGGGCCAAAATTCCGAAATTGAACTAATTTCGACTACTCCCTATGTAAACATGCTTGCTTTGAAAAATCACATCGAGTAGAGAAATTCATCTAGTTTCTAGAAACATCTTTGCGACTCTTTGACAACAAGTGACCCAGTGATAAAAATCAGAAAAGGAGCACCACTCAGACTCCCAATTTTCGAAAATAAATCGTCAAAAATCTAAATCACTAAAAAAATATCTATGGGTTTCTTATAGGTTTTGCGAGCTGCTCTTTCTAATGGTGCCAAGTTTAGGCTGATCGAGCTTTTCTACGAAAAGTTACAACTTTCGTGAAAAATGCAACAAATGCAAAAGACGTCATTTTTCTATGTTACCGCACTTTCGAAGGATGTGCTGTCGACCTACGATAGTTAAAAACCGTTAAATACAATGGGGACTTTGACTAAAATAAAGTAGGTGCAACCAGCTGCTTCAGTCAAACAGAAACATAGACATTGGCAGTAGAGGGATAAGTTTTGGCTGGCAATTGAGTAGTGCTCTAGCACTCTACTTATGAAAGCAGTCTGAAAATCGCAAATTATTTTATCGAGATATATAACATTGCGCTATACCCGTCACTGAAATTCAAGCCTGTAGCAGAATATCGTGTTTGAACCTAATAAAGAAATTCGGAGTTCTCAGAAAATTGCTTCAAATATGAGCCCTGTTTCATCTGATGATTGTTAGCTTTGCAGAACCTAAGAAGAAAGAAAAATTTGGCGGGAATAGAACGATGGGACGAAACAAAAGAAACTCCTCCAAATTTTGAAAGTGAATTAGTGAGATATAAAGATCTGCTATCGACTTGGTTTGGCTTCCACATAATCAAAGCAATCTTCACAATTTTTAAAAAATAAGTAGTTATGTGTAAAAAGGCTTTTCGGTGACCCTTTCTTGTAAAGGGCAATTCTTTCTTCACAACGTGTATGGATTGCATGTTGTAAGAACGCATTAGTGCAACAACATTGTCGGCTGTGTACTTTTAGTTTACGACCGATACATATGTGATAATTTACAACAGTGGCCATATTCATCAACAAACCCACTGGGTAAGATCGGTATTCACAAGTGCCCCGCCGGATTCGCCAACCCATCACCAATGTGCCTCTCCAGCCTGTGTACTATTTTTCTCATCTCTCGACACACATGAATTGCGCTAAACTAAAAGCGCCAGCACGCTTGACACGCTTTCGGGAACTCTTATGTTCTGATGTATGACATGAATCAATGTCCAAAACTTGCATTTCTCTTATTCTGTATTTTATTCGACTATTCTTTCGGACCCCGACATAGATAATCGTCGGGGCAGGCGTCCGCAAACTCGCGCTTTTCTGCAAGCGGTCAGCAGAATTTTGGGAGTGGCCAAACCTTCAGCGAGCGGTACCTCCTTTACTGTTTAATGTTCTGTCAGCGGGCAGCAACACAGAATTTTCTGAGGTGCTCGTCAAATAATATCTTTCAGCAAACGCTGGCCGAACTTTCAACAGGCGCTCGGACTCTTTTTACGCAGTTTCGGGCTTACGTCGAGCACAGGTAAGACTCTGTGTGGCAGAGGTGTCACGTTGATTTGATTACTCGAGTTTGAGGTACTTTCTCCCAGCCGAAAGTACCTGGGGGCTGCGCGGTTCTCCACAAAGGACCGTGCAGCTCTCGAAAAGCTTGCATATTCTCGCGGAAAGTCCGCGAGAATGCGTCCCCTGCGCCGCAGCTAATCTATAAGGAAACCGCGATTGTTCTCCAAGCATTCGTCTAAAATTTCGCTAAAATTCTTCCAAATATCTGCAAGCGGACCACAAGAAATCAGCGAACTATTTTTCCGATGCCCCCCCCCCCAACCCATAAATCGCATGGCCGCCTGCTCCCCGGCGATTATCTGAGGACATGACTGTCGACAATAATATATGTGAAAGTAAATGCGGAAAAAGGGCTCTACTCTTTTTTTTGTATAAATGATCATTCTTGTTCAGAGTTGTTTTTTATCTCATGAGGAAGATATCAGCCACATCTTAAGAAGTTTGCATGGCATAGCTACATTCACGAATCCGCCTAGTTTGAACAATTGTTATGGTGCAAGGAGTAGCTAAGTTTTATCCTAGATGCTTTTGCTGCACATGACAAGTAAATCTATGCTTTTTTTCAAACTGCTACTTTCAAACTAGTACATTATCGTCATCAGTGGCAAGGTACATATTCGCAGGAAGCGCTCGGGTACTTCCGTCCATTTGTATTTCTTGTGCAAGGACGCCCGAATGGTAGCGTACACGGTTGGTACACGTTTTCCTCAGATTGGAATGTGCAAAGAGATGGGAGAGATCATGGGAAGGATCATCAACAGAGTTCTAATCTCTATGATGTAAACTAATACGTGATTACATTATTACTACTTGTTCCCTTCCCATTGGTTTTTACTCCACTAGATCAAGGAACAAAATATTTTGATTAAAAACCGCTTCTTTTCTTTTTCAAGCGTTTGTCTACTGACTTAATCGGAATGGGGGGGCAAAAACTTTTTTTTAATAATATGCGGAATGAACGAACATAGACAAACATGGACAGTAGACAACCAAATACACAAACACGAATGCAGGCAGACGCTCTGCTTCCTATGCTTCCTATATGAGGCTCCCACTGTAGCCGCAGCAGCAGAAAAATTCTAAAATAGCATGGCAAACGTCGGCAAGTGCTTAGGCTCTTTACAATTTGACGAAAAAATCTCCGTTGAAAAGCTTGTCTGCGACTTTTCAGAGACTGCCAAATTGTGATCGGCATCAAGTTTACTATCCTACATATCAATGGAATATCTTATCAATATTTATGCAACAAAATTCCTTTCAGTTATGAGAAATATGGAGATGTTTATATATAAGTTCGCTAGTAATGACATTCCCTGCTTATAAAAGTCTACATAATATGCAGCAAAGGGATTAGGTTCGCATGTAACCCACTAAGGAATTTGCACCATGCTTGGGTTCGCCGACCCAGCGCTCAGTGGGTTCCGGAAATCACGAGAACTGGGTAACTTGTTTCGTGAAAGCCGGTATGTCGCTTTTTGAGTTCGCGAACCCACTGGGTACGTTTGTGAATACCGGTTGAGTGGCTTTTTGTGGTTCCGGAACGCACTGGGTAAGCTTAAAGACAGCGGCTCAGCAGAATAGACCTACCTCAGAATTTGACATAGATGGATAGGAGGCCCTCCAAGTGAACCAAAAGAGCAAATCCGGGCCGAAAATGTAAATTCTGCAAGCCAGGGGGGCAGCCAAGCTCCGCTCCCCTTCCTCCTTTCGCTCCCCTAACACCTTGTGCGGACGAGTATGCTCGCCGCTAGAAAAAACGCGCCGTCACTCGTCACTCAATTGTTCTAGCACTCTCTACCTCCTTACTCTGCGTCTCTGACGGCAGAGAAAAACGGCTCACTGGTCCGCGCCCGTCTCAAGGGGGTTTCAACAGACGGGGTTTTCCCCATTTTCGCGCTAAGGGAAGTTCATGTCGTGATTCAGGGGGCCGGAAGCCCCAAATCTGCCAAAACCCCGAAGTTGAAATTCTGCCGAGCCGCTGCCTTTAACCCACTGGTTTCCGAAACCCACTACCTTCGTGAATACCAATTTCTTGGGTTAAGCCTACCCAATGGGTCCCGGAACCCACTGGGTTCGTTGATGAACACGGCCACAGATCTCTATGTCAGCTGATGTTAAAGTGGCGTAAATGAAGGTGTTCAAGCGATTTTCACCAAGTTCTGACAGATTATTTGAAGGAAATGGAATGTAGGATATTTTTCATCGGCTGGTCGTATATGAACGCTAGCACCACAAAATTTATTCAACTTTTTGAATAACTGTGGATAAAAAGGACATTTAGGCTGAATTAATCACTTTGCGAGCACCACCAATGTGGATGAATTCAAAACTTTGCTCTCTATTCATGAAAAAGTTGACCACTTGTGCCTCTTCTCTGGGTCTCCATGTTTGTCACATTGTCTTTGAACGTATTCTTCAGAAACGGATTTTCTGTCATACACCCATCCTATAGCGGCGAACGCATCTATGAACAAGCAAGTCCAATTCAACTTCATCGAATACTCGGAAGCCCGATAATCCTAAATGAAGATTGAGCATTTCTGTCTGTTCATCGAGCGGTATTCGTGAAAGTGGAAGCTCACCTGGGGAAATGTGTGGTGGAAATTGTGCCCTCCTTCACCAACTGCAGTGACCGACGTCCAAACAGACTCGACTGGAGAAATTCGTGAATCGTAAGGCTTATAACCAAACCTGTTGAAGAAGGCTATTTCAGCCGCTTCCCCTCCAACAGTTAATTTGAACATACATGTGTGCAGCACTGTTAATAAACCACGTAGAGTGTAAAAGGAAGCAGTAGCGGAAAAGTGCGGCTGTGTAGAAAGCGATCAGCGGTGATTCCTTCCACATGTAAACAGGAATGACAGTTGGAAGCAAAAAACAGAACAATAGAACCATTGGGATATAATATCTGAAGTTAAACACTATAAGATGGGTAAGATATGTAGATATCGTAGACTGCTCACTTTCTTTGAAAAACCAAGACAGGATCAGCATACAAATCAGAGAGGTCGAGTTTTTTGCCTTGCTCCTTGATCTGAAAGACAAATCGTGGGTCACACAGATATGTTGCCTTAGGAGAGATATCGCAAGCTGAGGCTGAATGCCGTTGCGTCTCCCCGAGACAGTGTGCGCTCGAAAGAGACAGCAGAGAATAAGAGTAGCAAAAGTGCGCTCGATCGGGAGACGTCGGGCAGAGTCCTGTTTCTGCGTGCGACGACTTGCCCATAATTCTTACCTGCGGATGTTTTTTGACTAAGAGCCAACCCATGTGTGAAAAGAAGAAACCTCTCTTGGTGTTGTGCGGATCAGCGTGTGTATCCGTCCATTTATGGTGACATCTGTGATCACGAGCCCATTCAATGATGTCGTTCTTGAACATAGGTTTATAAGTAATCATCTCGAACTTACCGACTTTCACGATCACGGTGAATCTTCTAGACTCACCGTGATCGTGAAAGTCGTTAAGTTTTGTTGTTGTTCGTGCGTACAGTCTAAGTTTTTTCTCTTGTCAAACGCTCTTCTGCTATCAGATGTGAGCTTAAAAAATTGGAACACTTTTGAAAAGTCCAGAGGTAGTTTATTTGCTTTGAGGGCTTATGGCAACGGCCGCAACTCATCGACCTTCACGATCAAACAAATCTCTCTTCAGCAAGTTACAAACGGACAGGTTTTGTGATAAGATGATATATTCTACCCGTTACTTACATAGACTTTACTCTTGTCAAGCTTCGGCCGTCTATCTGATAGTGATTCTCGCTCACTGCAAACCAAAAAAATGCGAAAAATAACACGATTCAAAGAGTGGAACTAATTCCATCTACCTTTAGAAATTTTCATAGAAAAAAAAACTCGCCTCCCTACCCTCACGCGTGTGAAATTTAATTTGCTTAGGTAATTATGTATCAGTGGTAGTTCGCGAAATTTTGAGGGGTAGAGCTAATGCAAACCCCTTGAAACATTTTTTGTTTGTTTCCAAAGTGCGCAGTTTCAGAGCCCCGTTATTTCAAGGAAGGGACGGAGCGGCAGCCAATCGCCTGTAGATTTCTTATGAAGCTAAGATTTTTCAAAACATTGACAAAATTATGTTAAATATTCAACAAATGTAAAAACAAGTTATTTATGCATTTTTGTAACTTATGTATGCACGGCGGCACTTTTGGAATTTGTGCAACACATTTTTGTGGTAGCGCGTGCCGCTCCCTCCCTGTTCTTCCCCTCTGTCCCCCCAGTATCTATGCACATATGCAGATGACCAATTATCTCAAATTATTTCTGCCTATCTTTTTCCTAGCGACCAGAAACTTCGAAAACTTTAGAAACTTCAGCGACTTGCACAAATCGTAACTGCTCCCAAATTATGTTCCGAACTCATTTTGTCACTGTTGACACTACACGGTAGGTTTCTTGAAATTTGTTTTTGGATGAAGGACTACGGCGTCATATACCCTTTTCCGATTTTTGGAACGCTCTCTGAAATTTTTTAGTGGCAGCTACGTTGCGGAAATTTCTCAACGAAGCTGACTTAAATTTTCTAAGGATTCAAAAAATTATTCATATCGTTTGAAAGCGTGAACAAGTCGCTTCTTTATTATTTTACAGCACACGTACTCACTGTTACTTCTAGAAATTTCTCAGCCTTACCCTCCCATCCCGGTCCTGCCTGTCACCTACTACTCTTCGCTAATGTCTCAAGCTCGACGAAATAAGAAAATGTGAAAGCGTTACCTGAAAAGCAGTGGTGTTCATAAGCATTACGAGGATGCGATAGGGCAGATTTGCTTTGTAAGACTTATGCGACCATAAGCGATGAGCGCCGGCTGTCACTCCGATCGCTCCTGCTACATGCAGCGCAATTGCTGAAAATATCTAATATTAATGTTATTGTGCTGTTCTCGCATCCGTATCTATCAGGGTCCAGCACGAGGGTGGCAAATGGACATCGATGAAAAGACTTCGCCTTTGCCTCTATCTATTTTCACGACTCCCCCCCCCCCCCCCCCACTTGATCCCCCCAGCTGCCTGGGCTGGTCGATTGAAGCGCGCTTTCTTCCTCGAACGGACAAACTCGCTTCTATTTTTTTGTTTTAATAAAGAGAAGGAGGAGAAGTTTTGGAATCGGAATGTCACTAGTACCAAACTTTAGGTGTAGAACAGATCTATGTAAAATTTTTGAAGAACTTATGTGAGATGGAAGTTTTGCCCAGCTCAGGTGGGCATTAGGTGGGCAATTGCCCACCTCATTTGAAAAAAAGTTAAGCACGCTCTTCATTCACATAAGTTGTCATGAAATTCCATACTTAGCCCTATTGCGCGTATACATGCGTTGCAATTGAGCCATTTTGTCAATCTGGTAGTGGGAAATCTTCGGAAGAAAACTCACTACAACCTTCAGTCACATAATTTTTTCACAATACTCTGCACTATGCTCCTCCCAATCCATCTCTGTTTATACTCCAAATTCTTAGTTATGTCGTTATATGTGCGCTGTAAGCGACACAAATTACAACTCAATTTAAGAAAATTTGGGTTTTTGAAGATGACGCGCGAGCAAGATTGTGTTTTTGCATGTCAGACGTGTGCAACGTTTCGAGAGAGTGTGTGTACCCTCGATATCATCCCATATGTCTTCCCTCAACATGACGTGGATTACGTGGCTTGATGAGGCCGCCTCGCCTCGGACATGCGCCACGTTGCGTGCGCATTTTCGGCGTGATGTTGCAACAAGAAGAACGTGGAAAAGCCTGCGCCACGTTGTGTTGAGCGCCACGTCGCGCCAAATGATGCGCTCGCAACGTGGCGCGAGCCCGAGGCGAGGCGGCGCCTCATCAAGCCACCTAATCCACGTCATGTTGAGGGAAGACATATGGGATGATATCGAGGGTATACGCAAACGTATATTTATGATATCCCGTTTTCTTTCCGTCCAAAGCGATTTCCAGCCTACATTTGCCCACCTCGTGCCGGGCCCTGGTATCTATGTATCCCAATACAGCAAACACCCTAGTACATAAGGCGACTATAAAAACAAAGACTACAGTGATTTGTTAAACATGATATGGGATAAAAATGATTGCAAAAAAAAATCAAAGAGGTCAACACACTTTGAACCAAGAACTCACACCAGAAAACTGTCGACCATTTGGCAATGAACAGAAGTTGGTAAAAGCCTATTAGCGCTCCGATGTGAAGACCAGCGAACAGAATTACATTTCGCCATACGATTTCAGGCTTATACGGTATCTGGAAAACGCTAAGTAAAGGCACTTGTTCTTTGCTTAGTCCCATTGTTCATGACGGTTTTCTTACACAAAACTGCAGAAGTTGCATTTAAATTCACAGTGATCCGGTGATTGCAAACTAGGATTAGGGTACAACCCTAACCATTTAAATTTGTGAATTACGAAGATCAGCAGTCCATACTTACAGTATGCTGCTACTTACAGTACTTACAGTGGCTAATTCCACTTCTTTACAGAGTGAGCACGAGAGTGATAAGTGCGAAATTTAAAGCAATACAGGAGCCAAAATAAGGTGGCAATTCTGCTACAACGAAAAAACCGGTGAGAAACATGAGCTCGAATCGCTGTAATGTAATGCGCTAATCAAATTCCGCAAAAGACAGTTTTCAGAATTTGAAAAGACCTCTAATTGAGAATTGAGTTGAAAAAATACAAACAGTAGATTTTGAAAGCAAAGATGGAATATTTTTACTTTCGAGTTTCACTCTGGAGCTAAATGAACTTGAACCTTTCCTAAACTTTTCCAAGCTGGGATTGTCAAATAAACATTGAATTATCATGCGGTCTTACTTGCATTTGCAAGGTTTTGCTCTTTTTGCCAATTTATTGAATTTACTCGCAAATCTTTTATACAAAGCTGAATGTGTGTTTGTATGTCTATCTGTCTTTCTGTGTGTATGTATGTATGTATGTGTGTATGTATGTATGTATGTATGTATGTATGTATGTGTGTATGTATGTATGATGTATGTATGTATGTATGTATGTATGTATGTATGTATGTATGTATGTATGTATGTATGTATGTATGTATGTATGTATGTATGTATGTATGTATGTATGTATGTATGTATGTATGTATGTATGTATGTATGTATGTATGTATGTATGTATGTATGTATGTATGTATGTATGTATGTATGTATGTATGTATGTATGTATGTATGTATGTATGTATGTATGTATGTATGTATGTATGTATGTATGTATGTATGTATGTATGTATGTATGTATGTATGTATGTATGTATGTATGTATGTATGTATGTATGTATGTATGTATGTGTGTATGTATATATGTATGCATGTATGCATGTGTGTGTGGTACGTAATTCCGAATAGGAACCTTTCTAAACCAATTCGGACTAAACTTGGCGCACATACACTTCCTCATTCGCGGTTAACGACCGCAGGAGATCCGCTCACTTTCGTTTTGTTTCGGGACAGAATTTTGTCTTGGCGTTAACCCGACTCCACCGGCAAACTGGTAGGGATTGTTCCGACGTATACAAGACAAAATCGTTCAATCGATCGTATCTGTGAGTCGTTCGTGTTTAACCGGGCGTCGCTTGACAAGTGTCAACGAAGCTTTCATTCCGAGGTTTACGCTCATTTTCATTTTTCCATGCATTAGCGGCAGCCGGCTCCTTCGTCTTACTCATATATCCTACTATAATAACGCGCTAAGAGTGTTTACGTTTCTTTGTGTGGTCTGTGTGAATGTCTGTCTGTCACGAAATTCATAGCGCGAGTTCCAGCCAACCTCCTGGGCTCAAATTTTGCACAGTGCATGCTACCCGCATGAAAGTGCAATACGTAAAAGCACGAGCAGAGCGCTTCGTTGAGCGGATCCCTCAGAAACTGCGCATCAAACGGATTCAGTTTGCATTTGGGCCGCAAGATTGGGTCCGTAATTCCACTTTCTGTAGAGTCGTGGATGTTTATGCCACGTAAATGTGCAAGCCATGAACTTAGGCCTAAAAAAGTGATCAAGAGTCCATTACTTTACAAAAACGGCGCCAAAAAGTATTGGTTGCGTAAATGGTCAATTTGCCAAGGTTTTACTAGAGCATTTGACGAGATTTTCGCACAAAGATGTAGCTCATAGTGACTGCTGTTCTTATTGTAAGTGTCGAGACCATGGGAAAATCAAAAACCTATAAAAATTTGCGTTTGTTTTCCTGTAAAAAGTCTCATCCACGCGAAATCACCGATTTCACATAAAAAAGCTTTCGGAATGAGTAGTTGTTTACATTTTGTTCGTGATAGTCGGCATCGCTCGGTTAGTACCAATGCCATCATTATGCGAGAATGAGTAGGGCATAGATAGTAGAGCCAGTGCGAGCCTCTGCGAAGCAGAGGTGACGCACTGGTATATATATATATATTAGGTCGTTCCGAAAGTTCTTTCCGTTTTTTCAACCTATCATAAAAACACGAGGAATGAAGGTAGGGAAACGCTTCAGGCACTATCCGACGCAGCTTTCCTTTCCCTTTCTAGCGGTCATATTCATACGTGGCTTGCTTTTATGATCACTGAGATAATCGCCGAAATTTCGAAGCCATGGTTTTTACCATGTCCAAATTTAGCAATTTTTCACAATCTTCATTTTCAACTTTCGGAGAAGCTTTGATGGCAATCAGATAGAGTAGACAAAGTGCAATTTAATGCAATTCTTTGGCATCTATAGCTAGCCCCAAAAATTTATTACAATTATTTTTCTGGTGCTATCAAATTCCACTTTTGGTGATGCCAAGAATCATAGAACATAAAACAGCGCACAACTAAGGTGTCAATCGATGCAGCTTTTCCTTCTCTTTCTAATGAATGTATTTTCTTTCCAATTTGCGGTGTCTTTGGCGATAAAATTTCCATAATTTTTGATTTTGAACCCGCCCCAGCCTGTACACGTAAAATGCGAAACCTTATATTTATGGGCGGTAAACGCTCAGTTGCTTTGTAAAAATTGTGGATAATCGTAACTGACTTTGAAAAGTTTCAAAATCCGTGCTACTGCCAGTGTTCGGGGCGTTTCTGTATTTTGGGACTTTGCAAAAGTGAAGACTTTTGGAAAAAATTATCACAAAAAATACTGAAAAGCTAGCTGGATTTGCCAAAAAAATGTATTGCATTGCACTTTGATTATTCTATTTGACTGCTATCAAAGCTTCTCCGAAAGTTGAAAAGAAGACTGTGAAAAATTGCCAAATTTGGACATGGTAAAAACCATGTGTTCGAAATTTCGGCGATTATCTCAGTGATCACAAGAGTAAGCGACATGGGAATATGAATGCTAGAAAGAGGAAAAAACGCTGCGTCGGATAGTGCCTAAAGCGTTTCCCTACCTTCATTCCACGTGTTTTTATGATAGGTTAGAAAAACGGAAAGAACTTTCGGAACGACCTAATATATATATATATATATATATATATAAATGGAGCAAATCTAGGGAATAATATCTTTGGGTAAACCGAGAATTTGCGTTTTCGCAGCCTTTTTCTACGTAAAAAGAAGGTTTCTGTAAAATTTTCGCCGGAATTCAGGACAACATTTCTCAATTAGTTTCTTATTTGACCAAGAACGAGTTTCAGAAGTTAAGGAAAGTGTTGAAGTTGAACAAAAAAGAGAAACTGCGCTTAATTCTTGCGCAGAGATTCGCGCACGAAAACGCTGGTCTATCTCGTTAAAGATTGATTTTCAAAGCTTGGGACGTTGTCAGTTCTCATAGTCGTGTCATGGCGATCAGAATGATATATAATGTCGCAGGGTTTCGTTGAGACCCTGAGGAGATCTACGGCCAGAGCCAAATGCCCCGTCGGCTCTGGTCTGTCTCCGCTGCTCGTCTGCGTCTCCGCGCGCTGCGCGCTACCTCGCTACCCCAAACGCGGGGCGCGGGGCATTTGGCTCTGGTACCCTTTTCTTCGCTGTTTCGAACCCAAATTTAGCAAGTTATATATCATTTTGAAGCTCTTGGTCTCTATTTTCGCGCTGACAACGTCCCAGAGCCACATTTTTTGATTTGATCGAGAAATCCGGCAAAAACCTTGTTTTCGAAATTCTCTTGTTTTTCTTCTAGTTTAACTCTTTTCACGCGGTTTTTTCGTGCATTCTATGGATCTTGCTTCTTTTCATGATACAGACAACCACCCAGCTCTTACTTCTTCGATTATGGTGGAATTTTTTGCGAAAAATCGTAAAAAGTGCGTTTTTCTTTACCTTTCTCTATTTCAGTGCTTTCGCAGCGATTTTTTTCCAGCTTGAGCGATTGTTGCTCAGAACAGTAAGCGCAACAATCCAGACAACGTCCCAGGAAACAGAAATGTCAATGCGGGGGTAAAAATTCAAAGGACGCATCAAAAATCAAAACCCCGTGTTGCGAATTGCTGGTCCTGGAGCGAGACCTTGCACTTTATAAAGCCGCCAAATGAAAGATTTCAAATCTCACTGCAGCGTTTTTATTCGGTTTTCAGCAGTTTCTTTTGCTTTTTATATGTGTTTTACGTCGCCTTCTCTTCTCTGATCTTTTTTAAACAACCTTCACTATTTATGAGACAGATGCTCAAACAACCTTCACTTTTGACGCCCTGTCTCTAGACTATCGAAGGTATGCCAGTGTATATATATATATTGTTTTATATATATAATACTGGTATATATACAGGGTGTCCCAAAAAAATGTATCGAACGTTTGATCGTTAATATCTCTCTTCTGAAGAAGTCTTTTCTCTTGCTCCAGGTACCAATCTGTAGAGCTGGCTTTAACTTAGATTTGCATTATAGAACGAATCACTCATTCCTCTTCATTACTGTAGGATTACGGTAGAAACTTCAAAGAGGGATTTAAGCAATGAAAGGCCATATTTTGCCTCAGAAAGGAAACAAAACAGCGTGAAAACTTTTACACTAGGCTAATTAGAGATGCTGATTATAACTGTAAAGTTCCTAATTTATTATGATGCTTCATTGAAGAGTTATGCCGGGTAAGAGGTAGCGGTCATTTTTTCAGTGTTCCTAAAAAGTGCGATTACACCGTTTAGAAAGCTTCATAATCTTGTGAATAGTTGAGTATTGAACTCAGCGTCCATAAAAACCCTATTACACAAGTTTTCACAATTTTTTGAAAATTTTTGAGACGGCAGCTTTTTCCACATTGACACCATATGTTTCAAGTTTCTACCGTAATCCTACAGTAATGAAGAGAGATGGGTGATTCGTTCTATA